AAGAGAGACAGAGTGTGAGTGGTGTACAGAGAGAGGAAGACACAGAATCCAAAGCAGGCTCCAGGCTGTCAGCACAGAGCCTGACATGGGGCTCGAACTCACAAGCTGTGAAATCATGACTTGAGCCAAAGTCAGATGCTCAACTGACTGAGCCACCCAGGCGCCCTTGGTAAAGTGGTTTTTAAGTACAAAGGCACAAACTTTAACCATTTAAGAACTCAGGGAGTAATGCTCCCAAGCCCTTCTTGAGGATTCTACTACAGAACAGGCTTCAAACAAGATGATTAGTGATAGCAACCTCAGGACTAGTGAGAGGTGAGCATTAAATTTAAGAGCTAAGGTTAAGTATTAAAAGAAAAGCATACTATGTAAGTGCCATATGCTAACAATGCAGAAAAACACAGCTATGTTTTAAAATGGGAGAATGAGGGGAAGGAGAAGCCCCCCCCCAAAAAAAAACCTCTCATGCTTTTTTTTCCAAATTATTTTCAGGAATACTTAGGTATAGTATCGTTATTATTTTATCATCCTGTGCGCGATGGAGAATAAAGATTATTACTGCAGAAGAAAAGAACACACAGATACCAGAGAAGAGAGGACATAAAAATTCCACAGTCTTTAAGAGGAGAGTTTAAGATATTAGGCCCTATGTGATTTCACATAGACACGCATGCATGCATTTGTGGATGTAGGGATGTGTGTCTAGACGTACACACACATACATATACCCACCTCCCTCCTCCTTAGCTCTGACAAATATTAAAGAATTATTTACACTAATAGCTAAAAATGAATCAATGTTTAAGATACAAAGCTTAATATAAGACTACAAAACTATGTAGTCCTTTATATTGGCAAAAGAAGGTCACTATCCCATGTAAAACAGTCCAATTAACTAATATATAATAATCCAAAACTTGTACCTAATATCCTTCATAATCCATTAAATGAAGGTGTCTATAAAAGGACAAACCCAGTTACAGAGATAAATGATCAAAACAGAAAAAGCCAAATACAAGTGGAAAACTGACACAAAGCAAATAGATAATTCGAATTCTGACAATGGTGATGCATTATCTATCTTCATAATTAGCACTGCAAGGAAACAAGTCTTACTTGCAGTGACAAGTAAAAGCCATCATCTGGTCCTGTCAGCTCAGCCCAAATCTTGGTAGCTTCCTCCCAAGACATTCCTCTCTCTACACTAATCTGTAAAAGAAATAATAAAACTTAAATTACACTCATTTCTGTGAGTGCCTGTCACAAAAGGAAATTACATTTAAATGTGCACATTTTCCAAACTTACAGTGTATAACTCTACATGACCAGAGGTTGAATATCCTGGAGTCAAAAACTTCTTAACATCACTTTTCCTCACTTTTTCATCTCCAGAACCAAGATCTTAAAAAAGAAAAAGCAACATATAAGTGAAAAAAGAACATTTTATTAGGAACACACAGGACATTTTCCAAGTTTCTCCACTTACCTAAAATTCCCATATCATATCTTCCATTTTTTTTGGCATTCTGAACAACGGCTGTAAGTGTGTCTGCAAAATACTGAAAGAGCGCATTCTGCTGGTGCACCTCCATGCCGAGAATTCTGTTTAAGAATTTTCCTATGTTATTATAATCTGCAAGGACAAGATTATATCAAAGATTTAATACATTCAAATGGCAATTAAAATCTACTCGCCCCGGGGCGCCTGAGTGGCGCAGTCGGTTAAGCGTCCGACTTCAGCCAGGTCATGATCTCGCAGTCCGTGAGTTCGAGCCCCGCGTCGGGCTCTGGGCTGATGGCTCAGAGCCTGGAGCCTGTTTCCGATTCTGTGTCTCCCTCTCTCTCTGCCCCTCACCCGTTCATGCTCTGTCTCTCTCTGTCCCAAAAATAAATAAACGTTGAAAAAAAAATTTTTTTTTAAATAAAAAAATAAAATCTACTCGCCCCTGGAATTAACAACAACAACAAAAAAAGATGGGGCGCCTGGGTGGCTCAGGTCATGACTCAGTTCAGGTCGTGATCTCGCAGTTCGTGAGTTCAAGCCCCACAACAGGCTGTGTGCTGACAGTTCAGAGCCTGGAGCCTGCTTCAGATTCTGAGTCTTCCTCTCCGACCCTCCCCCACTCGTGCTCGGTCTCTCTCTCCCAAAAATAAACATCAAAAAAAAGAAAGAAAGGAAAAAGAAAAAACTCATTCATCTAGGCTTAGGCCAAGTCTCCTTTCTCCCTCATGCTCTTCCCTCACAGCCTTGACTTCCCCCTGCTCCCAGAACAGAGCTGTAACCTGACCATGTCTACCTCTAACAATTAGTATGGCCACATACATGCTCCAAAAGATAATGATCCTATTGAATTTCTGCATCTTCAACTCCACTTACTGAAAGTATGAACACAATTTAGCACATGAGAATGTTTGTTCTCCAACATGAAATCTTGATTTATAAAGTTCTAAGTGCTATACGTCTGTGAAGCTCAACTTTGGCTACAACATTTGGAACTGTGGGAAATAGCAATGTCTAAGCCCCAGCCCTGGCTTCAGCATTTTCTAAAAGCTTGACAGTTGATCATACATGCAACCTGGGTTGAAAACTGCTGCTATATGGACATAGTAAAGGTTTAATCTCTTTTGAACAACCACATTAGCAAAAACCAGCCAGAGTGGTTTAGGAGGAGCACTGAGGAGGGATTGAGAACTACAAACTTGAAACTTCAAATTGACAAAAGTATAAACAAAAGGGGCTGTAATGATACAGCAACAGTTATGTCTATGTACAAAACTCATACTCTTACCTTTATCTAGAGTCAGAATTCCTGAGCGATCTTCTACATTTATCAGGCCAACTCCTATCAGTCCTTGTCGAACATCTGTCAAGAAATTGATGAAAAACCTTATAGCCCAAATGACTCAATGAGCTGTGAGATGACCAAACTACATCAAGTTCTAGCATTAAAACACAGCCTAAAGTATTTTTCACAGTTCCTATTAGCTGAATTAAATGGCCAGCCCCACAGGTCTTCAGGCACTCCAAAATCCTATAGTATTCAAACTTCACACTATATTACTTCATTAAAAGATCTCATCTTCCCAATAGAAGTCACTGGAAGTGGAGATGTTTGGTTATGCAGCTGTCACCCACAGGCCATAAACAATTTTGGACACGTAAAGAAGACTAGCTGATTAAATAATTGTGTAAACAAGCTATTAATCTTGCTTCCCTCTCAAATGTTATCCATCAGCATTGTGACAAGGTGGTACAAAAGCAAAATGTGTAACAGTTAGTTAACACGTTCTGAATTATGTTACTAAGAAGGCAGTTTATGGGGCCTTTTTTTTTTTTTTTTTAAGTTTATTTATTGGGACACCTGGGTGGTTTAGTCTGTTAAGCATTGGACTTCGGCTCAGGTCATGATCTCACAGTTCGTGAGTTCAAGCCCCGTGTCAGGCTCTGTACTGACAGCTCAGAGCCTGGAGCCTGCTTTGGATTCTGCGTCTCCCTCTTCTCTGCCTCTCCCCCATTCACACCCTCTCTCGTTCTCAAAAAATTAATAGAATCATTAAAAATAAAGTTTATTTATATATTTATTTACTTATTTAAAGAGAGAGTGAGGGAGCATGCCCAAGCAGGGAAGGAACAGAGAGAGAATCCTAAGCAGGCTACACACTGCTACCATAAGGCCCAGTGTGAATCTCGAACCCATGAACCACAAGATCATGAACAGAGCTGAAAGCAAGAGTCGGACGATGAAC